ATATCAACCACTCTCACTGGCAGAGCTGTGATAAAACATAATGCTGTAGGATGTTTTATTTTTTTTAAAGGAGAGGGACTACTATATGTCCTGCCCGGTCTTCATGTTTCAGTTGAGAATACACCAGACATCGAATAAAAATGCATATTCCAAAGCACTTCACTTTTTAAGACTTAAGCTGGACTTATACTTTTGCCTGGCGCTACATCGCGCACCTCCGCTGACTGCGCGCGCACCTCGCGAAACGGACAAGGCTTTTATACTCGCTACATTCGCCGTTGTGATATTCTTCAAAACGACAGGGGGCGGTCAAAAAAAATTGACCTCAAAATCAGACGGATAAACAGAGAAGTAAAAAGTTACCGGAACTGTGTCATATCATTAATATCATTCAGTATTTTTAAGCAAATTTTTTTATTGCATTTATAAATTATTATTTTTTTATTGCATTTATAACAATTTAAGATTTTTTTTTTTAATCAAGCTTTGATGCACCACTTGCTTCTGTTCATATCTCAAACAAGTTTATTCAAATATTAATGGCAACAGAACATGGGTTACACTACAAATATATTCTTTATTATGGCAAGAATAAAAGCAAAATAAAAGAGCTCATTTACTTAAAAATACCAATGTTTTTTTTTTTTTTTTTAGATTTAGCCCGCTCTACAGTTCACACAAACTGTCAGGCTAGTTTCTGTCCTCTATTATGCTAAAGCAGCAATAATGGTCCAACATTCCTGTCCATTATCACCAATAAAGCCTAGAGAAACAGGCACCAGTATATTGTAAATTGATAGGTTCAAATATTCCTTTCCAACTATCAAATCAATAATCTGTTCCTTAGTTATAATTTTGTAGCTATTAAATTGTATTAAATTCACATTTCTATATATACATCAGTGTAAAAATCTATGACTGGTGGAAAAACATATTTCTGTAATTGTGTACCTGGCTCACTTTTGCCATGGCCTCTTTAGTTTTTATAAAAACTTATCCCTCTTTACCTTTTAACAAAAACTTTCTCCTTTCCTATGACTGTTGCTATTTTTAGCCAAGAATTATTGGTCATCTCGTTATCTCTATGATCAGAGATCATAAAGATGTCCGTACAGTTGTTCTGTTTCAGACAAAATCTCTTCAAAGTGTTTCATATGCAACTCAAATTAAACGCACTGTTCGCTCGAGTTTTTAAAAAATGCCATGCGCTCCCCAGCCGAAATCATGTCGCGTGCACCCAAAGCGAACATCCGCAAACTCAACAATGATGTCACATTCGCTGCGCGCACTCAAGCGGTCACGTCGAGTATAAACCAGGCTTTACAGCACAAAGCAATGAGAGCCAGCAGTGAAAAAGAAGAGCATTACTAGTTGGAACAAACTGCTCTAAAATAAGCCATATTTTGAGGTATTTGTTGTTTAACTTTAAGGATTAGTTCACCTTAAAATATATTATGCAATTATTTACTGTTTTCTTTCAAGCAAATGCAGTCAGAGTGATATTAAGCAATTTCCTGTCTTCTCCCAGCTTTGTAAAGGCAGAGGATAGAGCCATGGTTTTTAAGGTCTAAACGGCACATCCATCCATTTAAAGTTATCCAAATAGCTCTAATAAATGACATAACTTATCGCAAACCCTGCTGCTTATATCAGAAGGCCTTCATAATAGTCTTTTAAATTAGTTTTATGATGGATGGATTGGCATTTTTGTACTTTAAAACCTTGGGCACCATTGACTACGTTTACATGGACATCAGTAATCTAATTATTTGCATTAATCTGAATAAGATTAATATATGATGAAGGTGTTTACATGAGTTGCTTTTTGAATGTTCCTTTCCTCATACTGTTTTACATGTTTTATAGCACAAAATTCCAATAATTTAATTGCGTCACCATCTAATTTCGGGTGTTTCATTTTTTATTTGTCAACTCTAACTGCAGTTTGGCACTTTCATTTTCATTCAGGATCATTTCATGCATGCCACCGTGACAAACGAGATATTGGATGAGAGGATGAACTGCAGGAAGAGTGTTGTTTTAATAGAATTTGATCAAAAAAACTCCACATTTTGCCACATGACTTTGGTGTGTTGCCGAGTCATGGTCTTTCACTGACTCGGTAGGTGCAGAGAATAGTGTCAAACAGCTGTGGGTGTAAAGATTATCCTGTCACAAAAGGCAGCGAAAAGTCCTACACAACTGTAATAGTTTGATTGCGGTGTTTACATGTCTGTACTAAACTTTAGTAATGACACTAAAATCGGCATACTCCATATGTCTTAATCCGATTTCTGTTTGGTTTGATTATGACCTTAATTGAATTAAATTAATCAAAAATCGATGTGACTCTTACGCCCTATTCACGCAAGGCGTCAACGCTTCCTATTCACTTTGAATGGGTGACTTCAGGCTTTGCTGAACTGCATTATGGATTCGTTGGCACCGCTTCAGCGGCGTTGCTCACTGCAGAAGTTGGGAAATTCGCATCTTTTCAAGCACGAACGCAAGCATCAGCGTCAGATCGCTTTATGTGAATACCCCAGCTCAGACAGTAGCGGATTGCGGACTTGTTTCATTGCCTGATGCTGCATTGACAATCGCATCAGCCACAACTTCAGACACGCTCTCGGTCAAGCGTTGATGCTTAAGTCCCATGTGAATGCGCGGTTAATCAGAATATCGTCTTAATCATATTAAAATCAGATTATTGGAGTCCATGTATATGTACTCATTGACTGCCTTTACAAAGCCAGGATATGCTTGTGTCTGTCTGAGACACCAAAGCTATACAGATCACCTAGAATGGCTTCAGAGTGAGCATTTTCATTCTTGGATAAGCTATACCTTTAACAGGTAATCCAGATTAAAATATTGGCTTTTAGAATAACATGCAAACCTTTGCAGGAGAAAGTAGTTTTTAAAAAATGATGCTACATGACTAGAGAAAATGGGTCATGCTTTCCTATTTAAAACTTCATCATCCATAATGCATCAGGCTTAATGTAACTGTCCACAAGTGGGAAAACACAAAAATGGGTAAATTCAATCTGTAATTTTCACCAAAGCTCCAGAGAGGTCAAACATCTGCGTTTAAATAATCTGGTAAATTTTTACTGAAATATAAATAGGCGTGTCCCTGTGTAAAACAGAGAAAACAAATAGTTTTCATTTACATCTGTTTAACTGTAACAATACAAAACTGCTGGCAGATTTGTCCACTTTTAACCTACACTTTTTCTTTTCAGCTTAGTCCCTTTATCCCTTAGTCCCTTAAATCCGAGGTCGCCACAGCAGAATGAACCGCCAACTTATCCAGCACGCGTTTTACGCAGCGGATGCCATTCCAGCCGCAACCCATCTCTGGGAAACATCCATATACACCCATTCACACCCACACACTACAAACAATTTAACCTACCCAATTCACCTGTACCGCATGTCTTTGGACTGTGGGGGAAACCGGAGCACCTGGAGGAAACCCACGCGAACACATGGAGAACATGCAAACTGCACACAGAAACGCCAACTGACCCAGCCGAGGCTCGAACCAGCGACCTTCTTGCTGTGAGGCGACAGCACTACCTACTGCGCCACCCCTACGCATTTTCTGAAAATGTACATCTTTTTATTGAAATAATGTGATGTAAATGATTTCCTTTTCAATCAAATGCTATGAGTGAATCGAATAGACCAACTGGTCGAATTAATCAAGACTCTAAACCGGTAGTTAATTGATACTTAGATGAATGCATGATTCTTTTTTTGAATTGTAAAACTGGCTATGATACACTCGATAATGCTTTGAAGTTGGTCATTTTTCTGAGAAAGTTTCACATACACAAGGCAAAAGTAATGCCTCCTTTATTTTTACGGTAAAGATTTAAAAATATTTCTCAATTCTTTAACTTCAATTACAAGAAGGCTTTAAAAGCATCACTAATAATGAACAAAATAATTCGTACAATCTAATAGTTTAAATATTATGGATCCCTGTGTGTGTGTGTGTGTGTGTGTGTGTGTGTGTGTGTGTGTATGAAGAGTTCAGAAGCAAAAACCTCTAAATGCCACCTGAAATGTTATTCTAAAATGAGCATTTTTATCAGGATCTTTTTTTCTGCATCACATGCTATGACTTTCATGTCATCGTGTAACTCTGTATGTCAGTTATATGCTTCAATAAAAAAATATACGTAATAATAAAAAATGTGAACCGATTCAAAAGATTCACTTTAAACTGACATGAATCACACTTCACCTGAGAGGTGTGGGTTATATTTGAAACCTGCATATTGAAAGGTGCAGCAGCTGTCAGCTAGTGAAAGATCACACTGTTTTAGTAGAAGAAACAGAGATCTGCATCGACGGAAGAAAAGTAGCTCTAAATTTAGCCAGTTTGGTAATGGGGGCTTCACCCAGGCCGGGGGGAAAAATAAATAGCAGCGCGCGATACAAAGACGCCTTTTTTCCAGCGTGACGTTCACCCTTCACTGAAGCGTTTTTAGTCATTGGTTTATTTCTTTTAAAAAAAGAGACAACACTCAAAGGTGAAACAGGGCTTCACTATGTGTTAAATTCAAACCACTGACCGCTTTACATAACCTTTTTTTCCAAGCAGCCTTGTCTAAATTGCAGATATCATACAGTTGTTTGATGCTCAATTTAACGCTCATCTTGATCTGTAGCTTTTAATGCTTCAGGAGATCAAGTGTGAGGATCTCGATGCTTTATAGAAGTACAGTATAAACAGCATGTTGGGGTGTTCAGAAATGTTGTCCAGGTGATCCTGCTCCATACAGTATTTTAATGCGGAAGTTGTAAACCATGCCGATGCAAACTTGAGCATTAAAAAAAAGAGCAGCTGTATTAAAACATCAGAAATCAAGTGAAAGGCAGCTTCCTTAAACCAAAGAACCTGCATAAAATAAAAGTCAAGTTTTCTTGTAACACATCGAGCAGAGAGTTAAACAAACGCCTGAAGAAAACGTATTAATACTTACACCCATATCTAGGTCGGAAACCGTCTGTCTCGTCTGAAGTTGACATGTTTTCTGAGAAAAGTTAAGTAGTCCAATTTCGTTTACGCGTTCTCGATGTAGTTTTTTAGGGCTTTTATTTAGACCTTGAGAAGGCACCTCTGGCCCCCTTTCTTACTTCTCTGCACTTCTCAGACTTTTTTCTTCTTCTTGAAAACTCACTGATGTCATGGGCGTGTTCCTTCCTAAATCCTGAAGTATGCGTTTCAGGAAACACCCATTTGAAGAACAGCGCTTCAAACCTTTTATATGTGACTGCAGCGCCCTCTGAAGTCACAGTCCGCCACAGCAATCTATAGCAGTGAGTCTCCAGCAGGGGGCGCAGCAAACTAACAAGGACCGCGCATAGACTGCAAAATATAGGGACCGTACTGTTTCAGATGGTATCAATTCAGGAAAATTAATTGATAAATGATTTAAAAAAATCAATTACATCATATGTAATCAAAATATAAATTACAACAGTATAATACAATTTCCACTGCTGATCAAAAGTTTGGAATTAGTAAGATTTGTTCATTAGGCCTAAAAGATTCATTTAAAATGTAAATAGTGTTTTCTGCTCAGGCTGAATTCACCTGATCAAACATCAGACATAAAATAAAAGCATAAATATTCTGGAATTTTATTTTCAATAAAAATAATAAAATTATTTACATATTTTATGTAAACATATTTTTTAAATGTTATTGTCACATGATCCTTCAGGAATCATATGCTGATGTGTTGGTCATTTTTACCCGTGAATATAAATTCCTTATAAAAATGAACCATGGTTTTACTATTATTATTTTACAAGGTATTTATATTTATTGGTGTCACAGTGGCACAGTGGGTAGTACGATTGCCTCACACTCACAGCAAGAAGGTCGCTGGTTTGAGCCCCGACTGGGCCAGTTGGCATTTCTGTGTGGAGTCTGAATGAAAAGAAAATGAATGAATGAATTTGTATTTGTTTTACTACACAGTAAAAAACTCCTGGTTACCTTAAGCTGAAATTAAATTAACCTCAGGAATTAATGGAGCTCATACTATATTAAACAGACTTAAAACAGCTTGCGTAACTTATAAAAATTATGTTGGAACGTGATTACCTTAATTTAATAAGTCACAATGAAGTAAAGCATAGCTGTCATGACTAATTGATCGTATAATTATTTAGTGTACAAATATCATGGTTAGGCTAACTATGTGGTAATGGCTAGTCACAAAACTCTGGGAAACAGGCCTGACAAGGATCTAGCCTATTTCTTTCTTTCTTTCTTTCTTTCTTTCTTTCTTTCTTTCTTTCTTTCTTTCTTTCTTTCTTTCTTTCTTTCTTTCTGGTTTGTTTAATTTAGCTTTAATGTAGGCCTATTGTTTTACACATTGGAGCTTATTCTATATTATATTATATTCGTGTTGCTCATGTAGCTACCTAATATATGCATGAAATCGTAAAGCAAAATTACCAATTGAACATGCAATAAACTGCTTTCAATCTAAGCGTCAGCAAAACAAATAGCCTTCCTTTTGCCCCATAGCTGACCCAATAATGCCTTTACCCGAAATCAGGGCGGGGCATGTCAGTTTATAAAACAGTCATGTAAGCAGTTTACTAGTTGCTTTATTCTCCACACTTCCAGTGACCGACAGACAGCGGACTCTCTCCAGTCATGACGAGCTCTGAGATGCTGATGACAGGACTCCTCGTAGCGGGACTCTTCACCGTCCTCTGCTCTGGACAAACTTCCCAAGAACTGACCTTTGATGACGCACAACTGTCCCCGCAGGAAACAGAGAATCAGCTGGTGAGTTTTTACGGCGAGATATTAGCTTTGTTTATTCATTACTTAGCGTTATTTATTTTTGTTGTTAGACACAGAATTATCATTAGCCCATCTGAATTATTAGCATTAGTCCCCCTCCCGTATATTTTTTCCCGCAATTTAACGGAGAGATTTTTTCAACACATTTCTAACCAAATAGTTTTAACTGATTTATTTTATCTTTACATAATACATTACATAATATTTTACTAGATATTTTTAAGATACTACAGTATTATGAAATGTAGTATTCAACTTAAAGCTTCCCAGATAGCAGGCAGTAATCGGCCCGAGCTCGGCTGCCCCCCGGCGCCTCTGGCTCCGACTCGGCATCGGCGAGTGTTATCCGGGCCGAGTGCGGCCCGCAGCTCGCTCGCGCACATGCGGTTGTGATGCGGCTGTAAAGCACTGGCCCGATTCCGGTCAACCATATCCTGGCCGCTTCTTGCAAGGACTCGGCTGATGGCAACCGATTAAGTTCTTATTTTATCTAGTAATCTGTTAGCTCCACGTTTAATGATAATTTGAGAAAATATTCATGGTACAATAGCAAAAAAAAAAAAAAAAAAAAAGAATATTTAGTGTGGATGGTCAATGTTTAGACGCAAACAAAACAATATTATTTATAAATAGATTATACATGTCACATGTAAAATTCGCTTATTTTTGAGATAGCACGCTCCTGTGCTGACAGTTTTTTTTTTTTTTTAAAGCAGAAGTTGGTTTCATAATAAACTCATGCGTTACTAAACTCCTGATCCAAACTCCAATCCAGACGGTGGCGGTAATGCTCCAAAAAGCTGGTTGTCAACCACCATGGCACAAAGATCACAAGAAGAAAAAGTTTGGTTTTTCAAAGACTCACGTGGATTCCGGTCAGAAAGGTAAGCTTTTTACTGCTTGTGTTCTGTAAAATTTGCGAATTTAGAGCTTAAAACATTTCCACGGTGTTTGGTTGTAACAGCGTTTAGTAATTTAAAACAGTTTGATACGAAATGTAACTTGCTTTAAGAAACACGACTGGAGCTAATGTATGCTAACGCTAACAGTTACAAACACGTCTGAAAGTTCCTGTCCCTAACACAATGTTAGATTGTAACGTGTGTAGTAACTGAAAACTATTTTAATTATTTTAAAGAAACATGAAACGAATTTGTGTGTATGCTAACTTTGCGTTAAAGAAAGTTTCTGTAGACGAATCCATTAACTAACTTGGCAAAACGTGTTTTTTTCCTGATTTAACATTATAAAGTACCGTGGATGTTGAAAAAAATCATTGTACAGGCGTATACTTATCCAACAGTATTAATTCTGTGATTATGTGTAAATAAAAACTTATCGTTTTGGATTAATAAAATATTATTGTTTATCTTGTTTATGCAGTTAGTCACGAAAATGATCGAAACTCGACTGTTTACTATTCTCTTTAAATTATCCAAGAGAAATATATTACTATGCACTTTAATTCATATGTGTTAGCCTCTGTGAATCAATTATATCTTTTGTTCAAGCTGTAATGGTCAGTTAATGTAAAACTGAACGTCTTAAAGCAGATTTTGATGTTTTTTTTATTTTTTTATGTTATTGACAGTGATAAATTCTGATTTAAATGAATGGGTAACAATATTTGTTGGTTGAGTCTTATTGTTCTTGTTTAACAAAGGTTAGTGAGATCATTTTGCAGCACATCACGACCAAAGCAGTCAATGGCACACTCTTTTGAACGTGAATAGGCATGTTATAGTTGTGTGCTAAAAGTCCATAAGCTGTAAACTGCTGATACATTTTCAACATAGATTGAGCTTTTCAGACATTACTAATTGCTTCACAAACAGCTGAAATGGTTTATTGTTATTGGCTATCATCATCAAACATTTTTCACAATGGTAGGTTAATCTTCATGGGTACAGAATAATGCATGTGCTTGACCATCTTACAAATCTATGTCTCAGATTCATAAGGCTGTCACTCTGCATGAATCTGCAAATAAATCTTGTGCAACCTTCTGTGTACTGATTATTTACACTATAACATTATATGCATTATATGTATTATATGCATTAATTAACTTTGATAGTATTTCAGGATTTGAACTTTTCTTTACGGGAGGTTAACAACAATGCGATGTTTTATTATAGATGCATATGAGGAAGCTCGACTCAAACATCCACACGCAACTGTGATTTCTGACTGGTAGACAGATGAGGACGATGACTGTCATACATCTAAAGGTTTGTTTGCAATTATTTTAAACACATACTGTCAACATTATGTCATTGATCTATTACAACCTGTGGGTTTTGCCCTGGCACTATACTAAAGTGATGTTTTGTTTTGTAAATGTATCTGATTAAGGGACAGTATAGACACATCTATACCATGATGAAGAAAAATTACTTGGAACAAAGAGGCTGGATAAAAGGCAGGTATGAAGATTTCAGAAATCAATGCAGCACCACAAGTACCATCACCATCAATGACTATGGCAGAAATCTTAAGACCACCATCAAGATGCACAGATACTGTACATTCCAGTACACCAGGCGTGTCCAAACTACGGCCCGCGGGCCGTTTTTATAAATATCAATAGAATCTGGCCCGCTATACAAAAATGAACGTAATTCAATAAATAACCACCGGGTGTCGCTATTACATGCATTCAATTAAGCAGCAGTTCTTGTTATGATCTATCTGTCTGTCTGTCTGTCTGTGTCTGTCTGTCTGTCTATCTATCTACACACAGTTGAAGTCTGAATTATTAGCCCCTCATTGATTTATTTCTTCTTTTTTAAATGTTTCCCAAATGATGTTTAACAGAGCAAGAACATTTTTACAGTATGTCTGATAATATTTTTTCTTTTGGAGAAAGACTTATGTTTTATTTCGGCTAGAATAAAAAGCGGTTGAATTTTTTTTATGAACCATTTTAAGGTCAAAATTATTAGCCCCTTAAGTCTTCAGAACAAACCATTGTTATAAAATAACTTGCCTAATTACCTTAACTTGACTAGTTAACTTGATTAACCTAGTTAAGCCTTTAAATGTCACTTTAAGCTGTATAGAAGTGTCTTAAAAATATCTAGTCAAATATTATTTACTGTCATCATGGCAAAGATAAAATAAATCAGTTATTAGAAATGAGTTACTAAAACTAAT